AATATCATCGGCATCGCCTGTGCTAGCTTAACCGTTTACATGTGTAAGTGATGCCTGTCGCATGATTTGCGATGCCTGTTCAAATGAAGTTTGCATGCATAATTGGTGCGCCATGTGTGATGCCTGTTCACTTCAGTTCGTTTGCATGTTCGAATGAAGCGTGATACGGGATGCCTATTTGCTTGAATTCGTCTGCATGTACACGTATGTCCGGGCATTCTAATCCTTAGATAGGCACTGTTTCTTGGTAATGGCTGGTCGCTTTTTCTATTCCCCTGAATGTTGGTGGCCAGTAAAAAACTGTGGCATGCTCTTTAAGAAACCTGAAAAATCGAGTAGCATCATCGGCAGGCAATTTTGAGTTCAATTCCGTTATTGTTTCGAGGAAGCCATGTTGCCGAAATACCAACCAGACTATTTCTCTATTCTCCTAGTTTTTCCGAGAAATAAGGCTAATACTACTGTCTTATCTATGTATATTTTTTGTAACAACTCGCAACACGTTTCCATAGCACATCGACCGCTTTTTTGGCCATGCATGTTTGATACATACAAATATATAACGACGAAAGATCGTTCGTACCCAATATTTTAATTGGCGGCCAGTGACCGTATTCAATCTATTTTCTATTCAACTCTCAACTCTGCTGAAGAGTTGGCGCAAAAGCATTCGATCCTACACCTGGACATCGCAGCGCGTGCATGGGCCTTGGTTTGCCTTATAGCTCGAGAGTGCCGCGTCGCGCACTTTTGATCTCGGGAAATCAAAAGAGAATTGTTCAAGCTTTATTTCTATGGACTTTTTATGCATATACATATATATATATATATATATATATATATATATAATATATATATATGTATATATAGCATATATATATATATATATATATATATATATATTAGCATATATATATATATATATATATATATATATATTAGCATAGCATATATATTATATATATATCTATATATAGCATAGCCTATATATATAGCATATATAGCATAAATATGGCAGCAACGGAACATATTTCACAACTACCCCTGATAGTTCGATGCTAAATGTTTTTTTTCAGACCCACGGCTTTCGACATGTTGAACATATATAATATATATATATATATATATATATATATATATATATATATATATATATATATATTTGTTCAACATGTCGAAAGCCGTGGGTCTGAAAAAAACATTTAGCATCGAACTATCGGGATAGTTGTGAAATATGTGCCGTTGCTGCCATATTTTATGCTATACTTTGGGCCCTTCCCCTCCCCCACCCAACCACCGGCTCTGTATCAGTACAATTTCCCTGCATCCGCAAGCGGTGGATTACTGTCACTCCCCTTCCCATCCGGCTGAACTGTCGTCACTACCAAGCATGCTGCTGGCTACCTTGCTGCCACTGCGTGTTAACATATAACTGTCATGGGATGTAATGAAGTCAGTAGGCAGAAGGCACTAAACACCTGGCCGTCAGCCTTGCCGGCGTTTAAATGCATGCTTTTTACGCTTTCCACACTACCCATCTACCTGCAGAGAGGGTCAGTCACGGCCTTCCGCATGAATTCCCGTCAGGCCGTGGAGATAGCTCAGCTGGGTCTGACATTTGTTCTGGAGGCATATGTGTGTGCATCAAGTATTAATGATACCCGATGGTCAATAACTATTTTTTGCGACGATCGCAAAGTTTATGACAGAAAGAAGTTCCTCTAACGTTAATATCCGCAGTTAGAAAGATGCTAAAACAAGTTGTCTGTACGCTACTGGTGCTTTACGACGCATTCAGCGGCTAAGGCTGTATGGCGTCGTCTACCTCTCACCCCGGCAGGAAAGGAGAGTATTATCACATATTAATGTTCATCAGTCAACGCACTCTTTTCCAAAAGAGAAAAGAAAATCAGTGACAAGAAATTAGACACCTACCAGAAACGAGGGCTGGCCTTTAGCTGACGTCCCCTCGCATTCGCAAAACGCATGCTATGGGTTGTAAGCGCGCGCGTAATGTATGTTATGTCGGTCATTATCTGACAGAAGATAATTTTTGAGCGTATTTTTTACGAAAAAAGAAGCGTAGCGCGAGGGTTTGTATCCCATGGGGCATTTTGTTTACACACATACCTGCTCACCATAAACAAACGCCGGAGTGAGCGATAACAAACGCGTTCCTGCCCTCGTTCCAGGTCACCTTCACTTCGTGTTAGTGCTCTACTCAAATCTGCTACCTATTCCTCTGGGGTGTCAACTCAACGCGATAGATGTGGTTCTGTTTGGCTACGTAGCTCGAGCATTGGCAACACATCGTCAACACGTGAAATCTGCTGTCATGCGAGGTGTGCACATACTAGCCAGTGTGGCGCGTTGCTTAACCCATGGATCATAACCCAGCCGTAGATCAAGTTTAAAATGAGGCCCCGACAAGTCACGGGGGTGGAAGAAAACTCCTGTTGTGATGGGGCTATCTCATTAGTCTAGGGCAGGTACACCTGCTTTCCTAGCAGCGGTGCATACACTGACATTTGTTCAAGGGCAGTGTATGACTGAACGCTTCGGTTATGTATATGATGTTGAAAATTGCGGTGATGAAAGAGACTTTCGGCGATAGGCTGATTACTGATGACGCTACTGGGCATGGACTTAATGACCATTTTGCATCGTATTACGATACTGGCGACAATTTTTGCTCCAAAAGTTTGGTCGGTGATAAAAATACGCTTTTACCACCCCTGTAGCCGGTCCTGTGGTGGAAATCTTATTTGACCTCCTGCGCACCATTATGAAAGAAGCACATTTCATTAGTCCTGCTTTTCGAACGGGTCTGCTCTCTTATGCTTGCAGCGCACTAATTTGTCACAGTGTATTAACTGCTACGAAGGCTTGAAAGACTCTGTTCATGCAAAAATATGCAAGCACGAACTTATTATCCCGCAAACTTAATGACATCTTATACCATAGCTTTGATTTCTCCCTATGGCGCTTACCATCTTCGAGGCGCACTTTGGCTTTGAACAAGGGAGCATCACAGGGTCCGTAGCGACGCAATGAACCAAATTTTAACCAATGCGCTTCCCGGTAAGAGGTCCTTACCGCCTGCTGGGCCAATCGCAAATGTGCTTTCATTCAGCAATAGGAATACCATGGCTCTTGTCATGACGACGGTGATATAGAAAAGTGCAGGGAAAGCATAGCGCTGTTACAAAGCGTTACCAGTGTGATTTGGACTTCGTAGGGCCCTTCTTAATCATGGAATGACTTCCGAGGGCCCACCTAAACACTTAATTCCGAGAAGAGCCTATCTCAGATCCCACAAGGTCCATCTTATAACAGAGAGAGGCCAAAGCATTGGTAAGAAGAGGTGGGGGCGGTACACATCTGGATACAGGCTCCTGGTGAAAGGCGCCAAAATAAGATACCAGATTTGTCCATTCTGTTTCGTTGGGTCCACGTTTGTTCATTTGTCATCATGTTTGCTGAGGGACCCAGTAGATAAACACTAAGGAGACCCCTTGCCTTTCGTGGACATGGAACCCGTAAGTAGAACACTAGGCAACTCCATTGCCTTTTCGGTTAGGGATTGAAGGGGATTTCCGTCCAAATTCGCCAACCGGGGTACTTGCCGGCTATTATTCTGGAGACATGGTGGCCGGGCCCCGGTCGATCACGAAGCCACAGAGGGATGCACATGACATTGGTCCCCTCCTGGCGCGGAGAGCCCTCAGATCGGAGCAGTCGATTCCGATCGACGCAAGGGGCCTCACTGACGCTAAAGGATCGTTTACCGACACAGGGGTCAAATAATTGGCAGATGATTCCAGTACAGCTCATTCGGCCCCTGACCGAAATGGGGTGGAGGTCCAGAGCTACGTTCATTCTTGGGGCCAATTCGACAGTGCTTTTTCACTGTCTCATAATGAATCAATGCCATTTATCCTATCTCATTTTATTATCAGCGGGCCGGTCAATTTAAGAGGCTCACTGACGTTCGGGTCACATTCCTGTCCCTACTCAGAAACCGGAACAATTGCTGACTCGGTTCCCTTGCCGACATGGGTCCCCTGTCAGGCGCACTGTACCCCCCCCCCCCCCTTCCGACCAGCGCAGCGGTTCCTCATTGCCTAAGGGATCCCGACCAATGCAAGGGATCCTCTGACTTACAAGTGTAGACCCCAAAATAGTCCCGGATTTGGAAATGGGCTCTAGGCCGTCACGGGAACGATTGTTCGAAATTGGTGGTCGCGAGTCGACTGGCGGGCCCTCATTGCCCTCAGGGGCACCGATCGGCGCAAGGAGCCCACTGGCGGATATTTGCGGGCCAGGATCCATCATACAGTCTCTGGCCAACTCTTCGGGACCCCTAGTCGGACCCTTGATCGTCGGCCCGAAGAGCCCTAGGGCCCGTCTGGACCAAAGGAGACGTGTGCCCCCAGTGCCCTTGATGAAGTTATTAGGTGGTATAGTAAACACCCATGTGCCGAAAAGGCACCTCTCATCTCTTAGGCCCGGGATGAGCCCACGTCTGCTTAACTTAAAAATGGCACACGTTAGGTCTGGGAAGTGCCATTGCCCAGACAAGTCACAGGTCAAGTCCGGAAAGATCAATTTTTGCTTTTAGACCTGAGAACATTGCCTGCAAAGACCTGGGAGGGGATGATCCTATCTCAGGCCCATAGTGGGGACGGAGATGAGCCCAGATGATACGCCCAGAATGAGCTATCCATTCTGGGCCTCTCCCCATCCCCATTATCAGGAAAGGACCCATGTTGGCAGACCAGGCAGAACACATTGGTAGCATAGCCAGAGTCTTTTCTGCTACCAATATTTTCAATCATTTGATAGAATTTGTAAGCTCTGAAACCGGCTAATGTTTCTGCTTAGTAGCGCAGGCGGAGCGGGACAGGGTACTGGGCTATGTGCCCCCGCTTCGTATCCGAGGGGCCCTTCGGGTCTCTCGGGACGTACGATTAGTGGTCCGACTTGAGGGCCTAAAGTGTTCAAAAGGCCAGCCGGAGGTCCGGGCACTTCAGTGCCAGCCAGAGGGCCCTGCACGGATCAGGGGCCCCTGAGTCAGCAGCAGGCTATATGTCGGATCAAACACCATCAGAAACGAACAGTCGGCTTCATGGCGGCGTGAGCCTGAGTGCCCATTTATCAAGCGGGAAAAAGACCGGAGGCCGCGATTTACATTGGTCGCGGCTCCACAGCTCCTAACGGGGGCCCTGTGCTGGCAAAGGGCCCTAAATCTATCAAAGGCAATATTGGAGGAGGCCCGAAGAACCTGGAGGACCCACCGGGTACGATGATCAAGGACTCGATTGGAAGGTCTAAGAGTACGAAGGACTGGTCGGTGTGTTATTGAGGGGTGCCGGTTTGCGAGGACTAACCCTCGAATGACAGTCAGAGGACCCTTTGTACCGATCAGGGACATCCTGAGTCGATATATGTCTAGATGTCGGTCAGGCACCACCAGTGCCGCACAGTCCGCTCCATATTGGTATAGGAGCGGACTGTGGGAAGCAGTCCTGAGGGCCCACTTCCCAATCAGCTACAAAGTGATTCACACCGGTCGGTGCACTGTATCTATCGGTGGCACCCAGTGCCTAATAGAGGGCCCTATACTCGCAATGGGACCGAAGCGACCAAGGGCGGTGTTCGATGAGGCCCGAAGAAGGACCCGGTCGGCCCAACAAACAGGCTATCAAAGGCCCGGCTGAAGGGCATGAGCGCCCGCAAGATTGTGCAGGTCACATAAAGAATCGCGGTCCGTCTGGTGATGACCTGAAATATCGGTCAGAGGTCCTCTTGTACCGTTAGGACCCCCTAGCCAATGCGGTAGTGTAACTCGGCCAGAGACCGCGAACAGCAGACAGGTGGCTCCCTGTCATCCTGAACTCTGGGGGCCCATTTGCCAAGCAGGAGCAAGATCGGGGGACACCATGGCACTGGTCTGGGTCTCTGAAACAGTGGTTGGGCCCCTTCGTCGGTCAGTCCCGTCGGCTAGGGGATGCCGCCCCGTGTCGTCAGCATGCCGGCCGGAGGACACACGTTGGTGGGACAGAATGGCCCTTCATCCCTTCACCGGGAACAAAAATGCGTCCCGCAGTGTTCTATCCAAGGGGACCATTTCACCGGAAATGAAAGGTCTCATTAACGTTGAATGGAATGGGTCGAAATAAGTTCAAAACGCACCAAGCCATCTCATGTTTGCCTGAGAACGTTCATTCTTTGCAGAATTGACTGGTGAAACAAATAACATGAAAAGGTTTGAGTCTGCGCGCCGGGTGCCGATAATGTAGTGGTTAACGCGCCTACGTTAACCGCAGCGCGTCTAGGAAACTTCAGGTACAGGGTTGGATTCCTCGCGGTGCTCGCCCTTCCCGCCAGGGTGAGAGGCTGGTGACGCCGTGTAGCCCCAGCAGCTGAGCGCGTCATAAAGCCCCGATGACACGCCCGTAATCTCGGGGAGCAACGATGGCGACGATGGGTTGGGTTGCAGTTTTCGTAAAAACTAACGGCGCTTGCCACTGCAACTGCCATGACTGTCCGGCGCTGCTGGACTGGCATGAGCCTGTCTGTCCGTGGTTCAACTTGCTCATACAGCGAGACGTCAGTGTTTCGACATGTGCATGACATGTACTCCACATGTTATGTTCTCGTGCCGTCGTCCAGCGCGTCGCGCCAGCCGTTACCGCGAAATATCACATTGCACCAATTGGTCATCATCGTGTACCGTCACCATCGTGCACCAGCGTGTATCAATGCATCG